AAAAAAAAAAAAAAAAAGAAAGAAAGAAAACAAATAGGCTGATTTAAAAAAAGAGATACACATATACGATTACTTACTTTGTGTTTCTAAACAAAGACAGAGAAAGGTGCTTTTATTAGGTCTACAATTATTTCTGAGAGCCAGAAAGCATTTATTTAGCTCTTCTATTTTCAGAGCTAAAGTGAGTCATTTAGGAGGATTTGTATCAAATGTCCAAGTATCAGTTCAGTCCAATTAACACACAGTGAATGCCCAGGGAGTTTGGCTCCTGCTATCAGTGGCATGTATCAGCCCTATAGATTATCTAATGACGCCCGTCGTGGTTGCCACAGCACCAGTATCACAGAATGTTCTCTGACTCTAGTTTCCTGGTGGCTGTATGCAGTAGGAAGCACTCTCCATCCCGAACTCTCTTAAGTCCTGTCCGCTAACTCCCATCATTGTATGTTCCAGGGTTCTTCACCAGGGCCGGCAGCTTCTTTCTACCTCTTTGCTGTGCTTAAGTTTACTTTGTCAAAAGAAAGTTGCGTGCTCCTTCCCAACACCCATCCAAGGCCTGTGCAGTCTTCCTGTTCCTTTGCAGTTCTGGGTTGGAAGCCATGGATCACGCGCACCAGGCAGGTGCTCTACCACGGAGCTACACCCTGCTATGAGACAGCCTTCCTTCACGGCACCTTTCCTTACTGTAAACGTCGGCAGCATCTGTTTGAGGTTTTCTTGGGGTTCATCATTACATTTTAATGAGGAATATATGGGGCTCTAAATGTGAGGTTTGGGCTTTTATTTTTAGGGCAGCTAGCGCACAGACTTTCATCTTTAGTAGATGTAAAAACAAAATCAACAACCTCCTCGAGCTGTGATCCCCAGTGCCTGATACCTGACAGCCGCTCTGTAAATGTCAGCCCTGCGGGTGAGGTCACTCTGAATACCTACATATGTTTTCACATAATGGATAGGAAAGGAAAGCACCCAGGGGACAAGCAGGATGCTGGCAGAAAGGCAGACTGGGCCGGGGAGATAGCTCAGTAGAATAAGTGCTTGCCTGGCAAGTGCAAGGGCCTGAGTTCAATCCCTGGTTCTGAAAAAAAACAAAAAAACCCTCAAAAAACAAGAAAGGCAGAGTGGGACAGCTTTCCTATTGTCCTATACAATTGACCTATGTCCAAATAGGGGCTGCAGATGCAGCTGGGGGTGGAGGGGGAACGCACATGGTTAGCACGTATGAGGCCCTGAGTTCAACCCACAGCATAGGAAAGCTGTACCAAAACAGAAAAAAAATGCAAGTTCTATGTGAGACATAGTGACAAGATTTTATAGAAAAGATAAAGATGAATGTAAAAGTCAAAAGTGCAACATATATGTGTGTTTTCTTGTAAAGCATTTAACAGAGCTCTGCTGACTACTATTGTTTTTATTTAAAGCTTATTTGGGGGCTGGTGAGATGGCTCGGTGGTCTGGGGCACCTACTTAGAACAAGCTGAGCAAAGCACGGGGACCGCGGTTCAATCCCCCAGCACCACATGCCAGCCAGCCCCGCCCCCTGGTGGGCTGAGCTGGCCACACACACACACACACACACACACACACACACACACAAATAAATAAAAAATTAAAAAAAAATAAAGCTTATTTGATGTAACTATGACGCTGAGTGAAACAAACCAGACACACAGGCTTAAATATTGCATGCTGTCTCTCGTTTGCATAGGGCTAAGAACAAAGAGGTCAGAGACAAGGGGAAGAATGGCAGGAGCCCCAGAGACCAAAGGCGAGGGGTGAGGAGTGAGGGGGAGGGGCGGGACATAGGCAGACCTAAGTTCCGCCGTGTACAGGAACTTACTAATCTCCATGGATGTGAACGCTATGTGTCATAAGTAATAATAATTTATTATTATTATCTGTGCCACAGATTAATAATATCAATAAAAATGAAACTGGGGAAAGAGGAATTAGAGCAGGAGAGAGGAAGGGGGCAGAAGAGGGAGATTTAAAAGAAGGAAGCAAGTTGTATATTGTACCCGTTCCCCAAGGTGACTGTAAAACGCACTGCAAACATGTACTAATTAAGAAACCATAAATAAAAAAGGCATTAACTCCTCTGAGGCTTCTCTTCTCTGACTGTAAAACTGAGATTTAATAGCCAATAATACCTTAAACCCTGAAGTATCTGTGATAGCTAAATTTAAAAACGTTTCTGTGTCCCTTGAGTTATTGGAGATAATCATCGGCTTCCCGAGGTGGCAACAGATGGCTGTGCCCACCAGCTGCCTGTAGTTGGAAATGTGTGCGGGGCCTAGAGTGGGACAGCAGGGAGGGTGGGTGTGCCGGGGCCGCCGAGAGCCATCTCGTCTACCAGAGGCACAGTTCATTTCAGTGTAACAAGCCCCTTCTGCACGCTTATAGGAGACAGTACTACAGCCGCTGCTCTAATGCTATTCAAAATAGCTCGACTCTCTAAAGCCATTGTGCAGAAAGGAGATACCAGTACGTAAACAGAACTGTGAAACAGGGAACTACACATACTCAGCCACTCTTCTTCTTCTATTGTTTTGGGTATTGGAGGTCAGAAGAACTAGGAAGGTAGCATTAAAGATGGAGCATGTAGTTTTCTCACACTGACCCTCCACACTGGAGAACTAGTGGACTCTCCATGTCTCCTCCTACCTTGCACAATTACTCTGCAATGGATGTGGAGTAAATAATGAAAAAAACTGGCTGCGATTTCCTTCAGGATGTTGCAGCTACCAGGACAATCTAAAGACTCCACACATCCTCAAACTATAAACTTGGCTGTGAGTGAGGGAATGTGTGCAGAAGTTTCACATAATGAATCTTGGGAAGAAGTCTTAAAGAAGGGCTTTTATTTAAAAATTTAAGCAAAAGCTTCAGCATATTTTCCCCTTTAGAAAAAATAATTGAGACGTGGCTTGATTCTGGGCTCTCAGCCAGCAGGTAAGAAGGTTGGCTTAAAACCATCTCTGGGATAACAATGAGCCCGTCAATCATCCATTCCAGGAAATTTAAGAAAAACACATGACCTAACACATCTGGCGGGGCCGCCTGTGTCCTGCCCTTTGAAGCAGGGCACACAGTACCTGTGATCTGCTTCTTAGCCTCCAAGTCTCTGGTCTGCTTTAGCACCTGCAGCAGGCGGGGCACCCCGTTGAGCTCAGCGACCTCCAACTTGTTGTCATTATCCTCAAATACCAGGTTTCTCAAGGCCCCACACACGGCTCGCTGGACGTCTTCATTCTGGACTTTGAGCAGCTGCAGAAGCTTGGGGATGCCACGCAGCTGGTACACCTGAAGAAGAGGGCGCACATTTCCAACACTCGTGAGTCTGGCGTGGCACAAAGACATTCAGTGTACTATGACCAGAGGAAGTGCCCACGGGGCCTGCTGGTTAGCTCAGTTGTTTAAGCGCCTGCTCATGCAAATGCAGTCAGGCACAGGATACCTTAGTTTGATCCCCAGCTCCACCTGCCTTACCAGACCTGCCCTTAAGGCAGCCTGAGCCAGCCCTCCCCCCCCAAAAAAAAAAAAAATCCTTCTCAACTTTTCCCTTTTCATCTCGGCCACTGACATGCCCTCCAGACTAAGGAAGGCCAGGAAGCTTCAGGGCCATGTGAGCCATGGTCATGGCCGCATGAGCAAGCACCTGGAGACTGGGGCATGCGTCATCACAGGATCAACTTTGACATATCTCACCCAGGTTACTTTGGGAAGGTTGGTATGAGGCATTACTGCTTAAAGAGAAACCAGAGCTTCTGCCCAGCTGCCAACCTTGATAAAGTGTGGACATTAGTCAGTGAGCAGACACGAGTAAGTGCTGCCAAAACCAAGACTGGAGCGGCTCCCAACATCGATGTAGTGCGATCGGGCTACTACAAGGATCTTGGGAAGGGAAAGCTCCCAAGCAGCCTGTCATCATGAAGGCCAAATTCTTCAGCAGAAGAGCTAAGGAGAAGATTAAGGGTGTGTGTGGGGGTGGCCTGTGTCCTGGTGGCTTGAAGCTATTGGACAGGGGGCTCATTAAAATGCTAACAAATGGTAAAAAAAAAAAAAAAAAAAAAAAAGAAGTGCCCTGATGTTGACCATAATACACATCAATCAGTGACTCAGTGTAGCACCCCCAGAGGCTGACCTTGCACACGGCACCCGTGCTGTGGGGCAGTGCCTGCCATTTAGGAGCTTGGAGGGAAAAGGTTATGTGACAGAGGGCGGGGCAGTGCTGGTGCAACAGGTGGAGTCAAGCGACAGGAACCACAGCATGATAAAGAAGAAGAGAGCTCGGGCCTGCCCTGCGACAAAGGGGAAGCTCGTGGAAGAGCACCAAATTACACAAACGCCTTTCCAGGACAAAACTTTACAAGCTGTGTGCAATGACAATAGAAACCACCTCCATCAACAGTACAATAAAAATCCATTTAGCATGGCAGTCTCAGTAGCAATGTGATTTCATGCCAAATGCAAGTTATTTTCCTGATCAGCTGCATTTGAGTGTTTAATGGAAACAAATGGCTTTGTTGCTGGTTCTCACTTGCAGCCTTTTATTTTTTTAAGTTCCTAGGACTGAACAAATAACCTCTGCCTTTTCCTCAGCCTCTTGTACTTTTTATTTTGAAACAATGTCTTGCTAAGTCACTAGGTTGCCCAGGCAGGGCTTGAATTGGCCACGCTCTTGTCTCTGAGTGCTGGGTGACAGGTGAGGGCCATGGTTCCCAGCCGGAGGTCTGCAGGGAGTCAGTTAAGGCCACGACAAACTCCCCTTTTTTGATGGGTCTCACTTGTTGGCAGCCCATGCTGGGAAAAGGGCTGTACCTGGTCCAATGGCCCATGCCCATATTTTCTACATAGCCAGTTACAGCCTTCCTGTCATAGAGTAGAACAGAAGGCATTAAGAGCAAACCAGGGCCGGCCAGATAGCTCAGTGGACCAAAGTGCCTGCTTAGGAAGGTGCAGGGACCAGGAGTGATCCCCGGAGTGCCATGCTGGCCCTGCCCTGGGGCACGCTGAGAGGGCAATTGAGACCAGGCATGGTGGCGTGTGCCTGTAATCCCAGCACTTGGGAGGCTAAATAAAGGAGGATCACTATGAGTCTGATATGTGTAGTGAGACCCTGTACTAAAAAAAAAAAGAACAAAGCCTTCCCATCTCACATAAATATAAGCCTTTGCTAGGTCCAGGGAAAAGGCTAACAAGGCAGGAACAAAAAAGCAGGGCGTGGAATAACCTCAGTAGCAAAGAAGTTTGCAAAACAAACCTTGGGAAGAGAGTACTTTTCATAAATCTGAAACATAAAGCCATACAAAGTGTATTTAATACACCTACTTTCTAAGTATCCAACGTAATAGAGTAAGTATGCTGTGATCTTTCAGTACAGAGAAAAATACTCTTTGATACGTTTAAGGCCGCACTGCTACATGTATAGAAGTGCACCTGTGCTTCCATAGCTCCCTTTAGAGATGTGCAGGCCTGGAGAGCCAGCCTGACCAGGGCAATTCTGTCTACAACTAAGGCTGTTCTAAACACATTCATGTATTAATGCAATTGGTAAAGATTTCTCAGTTATCCTGGTTTTTTTTTTTTTTTTTTTTTTTAATTCAGGGAGTTGAACTCAGGACCTTGCATTTGCCCGGTAGGTGCTTGACCACTGAGCTAAATCCCTGGCCCTTTGTTATCCATTAAATCTCATTTAACAGATCATCTAAACTGGGTGTGGTGGTACACACCTATAATCCTAGCACTTGGTAGGCTGAGACAGGAGGATCGTTGCAAATTTGAGACTAGTCTGGACTACAGAGTGAGCTTAAGGCCAGTCTGAATTGCACAGTGAGACCCTTTCTCAAAAACCAAGCAAGCAAGCAAGCAACCAACCAAAAAGCAAAAACAAAAAAATCAAAGCCAGATCATTTATTTGCCTTATCTATTCTCATTATCATACATCCTTAAAAGCAAAACAGCACAACTTATGTGAAAACAGCTTATAATTAAGGTTTCTCTAATTCTCTTCATTTTATTTCATAGCAGGGAGGGTGGCTAAGTTCATACTTTACAAACTTCATGGATGCCAGCCTGCTAGACCCATGCTTCACAATGGCAGAGCACACATCAGACGGAAAATGAGAATTCTGCTTAACCTGAGGCGCTTTGACAGCACTTGTTACATTAATTTACAATTCACAGGTTGCCTTCTTCCACATCCAGTGTGAAAGTCTCACTGGCCCTATGCCTCCAGCTGCGGGCCTGGTTGCAGAGGCTGGCGGGGGCCCTGCGCGCTGTGATTCCTGCAGCTTTCCCCTGTCCCCTGGGCTTGCAGCCCTGGCTTAGTCCAGGAGGAGGGCACTTGGGACACGGTGCTCAGATAAAGGCTGTCACCCCTCGCCCCTTGCCGATTTGCCTACTATGGAATTTGACTCCTGGGCATCTGGAACTTATCCCAGGTTTAAAAATAGCTTTTGGTTTCATTTATGCAAATAGAGATACATTGCACCAAACACAAGTTGGGGCTACTTTCCTTCTCGGGATTAACCAGAGGGTGGGAGACGGCAGGTCCTCGCACACTGCGGTTCTGAGGCGCAGCTGGGCCTGAGAGGTGTGCGGAGTCTGCTAGTCATAGCGAGCCCTGAGGGCTTTTCACCTTTGAGGAAGTGAACAAACAAAAGCCTAATATAAATGTCACAGAACTCCAAAAAGGCTTCATTCCTGAGTTTATGACAGAGCAGAATCACTGATCAGCATTTTAACCTTCTCTTTGGTGTTACAACAATGCTCTGGCCACCAACCATGCAACCAGTCCAGGATGAGCTCAGGCGCCAGTCGGCACAAAAGCACAGAGCCTCCAGCACCGGGCCTGTCCGGCCCACCCCACCTTTCTTCTGGAAGGGCCCGCTCACCCTGCAAGATCCAGCTCAAATGTCACCTTCGTGAAATGTCACCCCTTTCCTTCCCATTACGATTAATCACTCCTCATAAATTGGTCTAACCTTTCAGGAAGGCAACTGGCAAACTGTTAAAAACTTTTAAAATACAAATTCCTAGTAGCCTTCATTAGGAAAACACTTAAAGCATAGACCACAGACTGATACACAAAAACAGTAACTGCATTATTCATAAAAATGAGAAATGCTAATGACAGGGAAGACCGGGTGAGGAAGGTCACACAGCCGCACACCATGGTCTCCATGGGGACACAGAGCAGGGCTGGAGTGGATGGACGCAGGCACAGGGGGACCATGTGGGTCTGTAGTCACATGCTGTGCACAGTGGTGACAGTGCATGGTGGTGACTACTGTCACCACTAAAGTGCCGCCATAAGCTGGGGCTTATGAAATATTAATGTTATGAGATAATGATTATGCTATTTTAAAATGGAATGAAACATATTTGCATTTCTACTCATAAACACAGGCATAAAGCAAATGAGATGAGGGGGTTTGGGAGAAGCACTGAAGACATAAGTCACCAGCAGGCCTTGCTACTATAAACGAAGATGCATTTTTTTTTTTTTTGCAGTACCAGGGATCAAACAAGGCCCTTGCACATGCCAGGCGGGCACTTATGCCGCTGAGCTGTCTCCCCACCCCCAAAGATGCATTTATGAGTGCTTTAAGAATTATCTTTAATTTTTCTTTTTGGCCTTTGAGTATTCCCAAGTGCTGGGATTACAAGCATGAACAATACACCTGGATTAATGTTTTTTTTTAAAATCCCAACCAACAAAGCTACAAATTTTACTTGATTGAGGATGTATAAATACATGAACTAAAAATCAGAGGATAAAACAATGACAGTGGTGGGATTGTAGGTATGCTTTTTCTTCTTTTGCATCTTAATTTTTCAAATTTCTTATAATAAACTTGAATTAGTTTTATAGTAAGATTTTGCAAAACATACTGCCAATTATGATGCTTCAATTCTAAAGCCAGAAGTAGGCATGGAAACAAAACTATTTTTTAAAAGGGTTTTGCAGATTGAATGAAGAGATTTGCCTTTTAACTCACAGCCAAGAGGAGTGGTTATTGCGAAGGTCCCCCTGCACTGGAAGGGCCTGGGTCAGGAGTGGGAAAGGATGGACGGATGGAGGCAGGGGTGTACATGAGGAGGCAGCTGGATTAGCAGAGGACAGTGACGAGGAAGGGACAGCAGTGCTGAACTGTGAGACAAAAGGGCTCCAGGGTCTAGTGGGGATGCGCAGGACGTGTGCAGATGCAAGACACTTTCAGGAGCAGCTTTAATAGGACTCTGCAGACTGCGTGTGTATGACAGTGACCAAGCTGAAGGCTCGAAGACTTCACGTTCTA